AGTTCCATAGAGCCCGTACGGAATCCCCGTTAGATAGATTGTGAATCGCTCGCTCACTCTTCGGTATCTAATCATGCAAGAGTGAGCAGTACCTGCGTGCTTCTGGAGTGTAGCCAATCGGTGTGGCATCTCTTTACAAGCACCTACTCGTTCATTATAGCTTAAACTCAGTTCGGCTCCGCCTTCATTGGTAAGGAGCATTAAAATATATCAAAGGTTCCTCCCCAGCCCACACAAGAACAACTCAATCTCTCTTAACTAATCTACACCGGTCCGAATAAACTTGATACACAATCGTCCACCCCTAACCACTTAGTTCCCACCAAATATAATTTTGTTCATGAAATTCATTGCAAATTCGGAAACTTCTATACTATACACTGTTTCAAAGTGTTCAAAAATATGTGGGTGGTTTTACTCAAAATTGGATCTTTCTTGAATAATGTTTTTCACAGATTTTATTAGGTTGTCTTACAAGTTTTTTCAATTTTGGCTTTCTACCGCAATAACTCACATACTTCTCAATTCTGATCAGAATGCGGGGTAACGTTCGATAGAACAAAGCAAGCTTTACAAGATGGCTTGTATGTGCTCACACCAGGTTTAGCACATCACGAACTAAAAGCCAAAATCTAACAACTTCCGGATGCCTGAATATTGAGAATTTTTTTATACCTTTGTTCAAAATAGACTTCAGATCCTGAACTTGCTCACGCTCAACCACTCCACATAAGACATTTGTATATGCCGTTGCTGTTTGTTTATGCTAGAAACAGAGAAAACTGAAATTTTCAAGCTTCCAAAAAGCGATGGTGCTTTGTTGTCACATAAGTAGGTGTCTACGGGCCTTCAGGAATAGATCGGTAAATTTTCAGCCTCTTGGAAGCGCTAATTCCGAGAAATATTGAATTTAACTAAATTTGCGAGGATATTTTATGTTAAATTTGAAATTTCTCGAGAACTAGCGCTTCCAGGGAGCTGAAAATTTGCCGGTGTGTTTCCGAAGGCCTGTGGTGTACAACTACCTATGTGAGAACAGTGCAGCATCGCTTTTTTGCATGCCTGGAAAATTCAGTTTTCTCAGTTTCTAGCACAAAAACAAACACAGCAACGGCATATATGGGGTTATATGGAGTGTATATGTGTGAGCAAGTTCAGGATGTGAGATCTTTTTCGAACGAGGATATAAAAATTTTTAATTCTTCAGGCATCCGGAAGTTGTTAGATTTTGTTTTTAGTTCGTGATGTGCTAAAGCTGGAAGCACATATACGCCATCTTGTAGAGCTTGCTTTGCTCTATCGGATGGTACCCTGTACTCTAATCAGAGTTGAGAATTATGGGACTTATTGCGGTAAAAAGTCAAAATTGAAAATACTTATGAGACAACTTGATAGTACAAAACTGCAAAAATAAGAAAACAAGCGGAAAAAAATCTGCCATAGTCAAAACAAATTAACTGATTCTGAATCCTAATTCCTACTAAACCTTAAGTTTCACTGCTATTTCAGAATCATGAAAAATATCTAGCAAACTCTCAGTCTGAGGTTGACTTCGTCCTCGATCAAAAATCTTTGGTTTCAGAATTTGAGCAAAGCCACCAGCACATTCAGAAAAACCTTGAGGGAACGCCCCCAAATTTCATTTTACCCCAATCGGTATCAAACAAACTAATCATGTTTGAACAGGTAAGAACAGCTACTAAATGACGTGACTGGGAAAATGCTAAAAATAAGAGCGCACGTCGCAGACGCGGAGAAGATTTCAAGCAATGCGGCCGCGAGGGACTAGAGCGAAAAAAGACAGCATCTTCATTGAAACAGAGTCTACGCGAAGGAGACAGTAGAAAGCGAGCTCGAGCTTGCTTCTTGGGAGTCGTCATGGCTGTCCACTGATTGCTTTTTTTCAAATTTGGATTTTGCCATGTAAGGTCTAGGAGATACCGAGATAAATGATGCTCGAATTCTGAGTTGTTCATTCACGAAGCAGCTCAGGGTGGCAGCGCCACAAAACTAGGAAATTTTGGTTTTGACCTCCAGATTTGTCAGTGTCACAACTAAATAAGTTTAACCACCGCCGCCTCATGTTGATCGAAAAGCGTGTGGAAAAGGTCTAATAAGGGAACGATCCCAACTTAAGGTGGCGAATTGGAATGAAGCGCATATCATTAGATGCGCCTTCATGAGCTGATTCCAAATCTATCATCTACAGTGACCGCCAAAAAGTTGCGGACAAGCCGCCTTCCTTTTTTCATCGCTCATTTTCGGATGGAAAACAAAGACGAAAAAATGTTTCTATTGCGTGAGGTGATAGAGCTCTTCAAGAGCTACGACCAGCACATTGTGCTTTCTGGAAAACATGCATTTTAAAAATTTTAAAAATCCTTTTCTTAGAAGATTCCGAAAATGGCCGCGTCACAATGTCGCGGACAATAATTCTTCGAACGCGAAAATTTCCTTTTGGGTCCTATTTTTAAGTGGAAACAGAAGTAATCCGAATAGCTAAGCATACTACATTATAGAGATCATCGAGAACAATAATCAGGTAGTGATCAGGTAGTGGTTATTTCCAAAAAAAACCCAAAATTTTTCAAAAAAATAACTTCTAATTCCCTTTTCCAAGCCAAATTTCTTCACATTTAAACCTATTCAAGACATCCTAACAAAGCTGTTCGATCAAAATGGATGCTTTTTGCCGTCCTGTATGCATCGGACGTGTGTTGGTGAGTTTCTTTGCTGAAAATGGCTCTTGACAGTGCGTGCACATAACCCCACCTGCACCTCACCACTGACTTGCACCGCTTTGCGGACCTGTAGCTCAGCCGGCAGTCATTCTACGAGCCTGCAGGTAGGCTCATTCGAAAGAGCGTGACTTTCTCTACACGACTATTTGCAAACGAGTTCAGTTTCAGGAATAACAGAGATTCGGCGGATGGGGTGACAGAGCGCAGCCTAGAGGTGATTAGAGTGAAGGCTCTTATCAACGCCAGAACAGTCTTAGAGCTCCGAATTGGATCTATTACATATAAATTGACGGTTTTGAGTTTCCAGGATGGAACTAGTAGCCAAAGGAGCTTTGCTCAACTTCTGCTGAAAAATCCTTACCATATCACAGAAGCTGCGCTTTGTCACCCCATCCGCCGAATCTCTGTTACTCCTGAAACTGAACTCGTTTGCAAACAGTCGTGTAGAGAAAGTCACGCTCTTTCGAATGAGCCTACCTGCAGGCTCGTAGAATGACTGCCGGCCGAGCTACAGGTCCGCAAAGCGGTGCAAGTCAGTGGTGAGGTGCAGGTGGGGTTATGTGCACACACTGTCAAGAGCCATTTTCAGCAAAGAAACTCAGCAACACACGTCCGATGCATACAGGACGGCAAAAAGCATCCATTTTGATCGAACAGCTTTTTTAGGATGTCTTGAATAGGTTTACATGTGAAGAAATTTGGCTTGGAAAAGGGAATTAGAAGTTATTTTTTTTTTGAAAAAAAAGCAAAATAAAATTCAATTTTGGGTTTTTTTGGAAATAACCACTACCTGATTATTGTTCTCGATGAGCTCTATAATGTAGTATGCTTTATTCGGATTACTTGTGTTTCCACTTAAAAATAGGACCCAAAAGGAAATTTTCGCGTTCGAAGAATTATTGTCCGCGACATTGTGACGCGGCCATTTTCGGACTCTTCTAAGAAAAAGATTTTTAAAATTCTTAAAATGCATGTTTTCCAGAAAGCACAATGTGCTGGTCGTAGCTCTTGAAGAGCTCTATCACCTCACGCAATCCAAACATTTTTTCTTCTTTGTTTTCCATCCGAAAATGAGCGATGAAAAGAGGAAGGCGGCTTGTCCGCAACTTTTTGGCGGTCACTGTATATCTGCGATGCTGTTTTCTGGAAAATGTTATGAGCGATTAAAAATGTGAGGTCATTGGGGTTTTAATGCATAATATGCTCCAAAATCCAACTTGGGAGTGCATGAATAGCATGATATTGAGGGTACTGATTTCAAGGAATGTCCAAATTCAAAGAAACACAAAGAAGTGTTTTTCGAGATATGGCGCTATATAGTTGCCAGATTTGAACTTTTCATTGCTCATAGCTTTTACCAAAGAACTTTAGTTGTTTTAAGTTGTTAAAAAACACTTATTTGTGTTTCCCTTGAATGTAAGCATTCCTTGAAATCAGCACACACAATATGATGCTAGTCATGCACTCCCAAGTTGGATTTTGAAGCACATTATGCATTGAAATCCTAATGATTTCACATTTTTACCCGCTCATAACTTTTTCCAGAGAACGGCATCGCAGATATGGAAGGTAGATCTGGAATCAGCTCGTAAAGACACATCTAATGAAATGCGATTCATTCCAACTCGCCACTTTAAAGGCAGTGTCCCGGCAGATTTTGTACCTCCACCTTTTTGCATGTTTTAGGCCTTTTCGCCACATAGAATCCGAATTTGAGCTTTGAACGGGCTGAAAAGGCCGATTTTGGGGCGTTTTCCTAATTCCAGAAAAGCAGCTTGGACGAGATTTTCAATGGAAAGTTGGGGGAGGTCCTCACACGAAGATCTGCCGCCTGTAATTCTTGCTTTGAATAGCATGGGGTAGAGGTACGAACGCCTCAATTAGGCGCCGCTTCTGCGGGCTGCTGGTCCTTTCGTCTTACTGTTATACACCGTGTTGGGACCAGTAGTCCGCGGAGGCGGTGCCAAATTAAGGCGTTCGTTCCTCCACCCGATAGCATGCATCATGGGGGAGAGCGCTCGTGGGGTCCCGCGCGAACAGGCGGGGAAGGCCGTCCAGGCGCGCGCCAGTTGAGGTTGCGCGCGCCGGTTCAAGGGCCATTTTCTCGGCCCAGGAGGAACATCACCCAGCCGGAGTGCGCCTGGAGGTCGATGGGGTGACCAGGAACCCCACCACACGTATATCCCCCAGGACCTGAATCTGCCGGGACACTGCCTTTGAATTGGGATCGTTCCCTTGTAAGACGAAGCACTGTTCCAGGCGATACAACTCCACTGCAGCATCTTTCCACGATCAGAAAGATCAAAGGAGTTTTGCATATCAGGGACAACGCTAACATTGAGAAACTAGAGTTTTTCCCAGCTTTAGAAGAAATTGACGCTGAATCGGAACACAAACGTGAGTTCGCACCGAGTCTCTTATGATCGGACACGACAAGCCATTGATCAGCTTAGTAGCTCATCATTTTTGGTCAATTAAGGGCCCGCACTGCTGATAAGCAACAACAGTGTGCTGGAACAAGTGCAGTTTGTGTCCCTTGTCAAAATAACAACCACAGCTCGCATCAGCACGGTTATCACAAACAACCCGAAACTTATCATTATTAAGGATGAATGGTACGAGGTGACTGAAGATTTTTGAGACTCTATTTGCTTACTTGGTCCTCTACTTATCAGGGAAATCATGTCATCAACTGAAAATTGTCTAAGCAATTAAACCTGTAGCCCAAAAGCTTTTTTAGCCCTGTAGCACACAGTTTGTTTATAAAGCAACCAGACCGAAGTGCCGCTTCGCGGCACTTCGGTCTGGCCGTGTGTGTGCGTAGAAGTGGGATGGCGTAGAAATTTGGCACATTGCCACTTAAGGTTAATCAAAAAGTGGGTGTCTGCAAACATCTGCTAAAAGCGAAAACGGGAAATAAGTGAATTTCTATAGGTTTTACATGTTGAGGTGAATGAAATATACAGCAGAGCTGTTCTTAGCTCCCCAAATTTTGGCATATGGAAGACACAACTTTAGAACATCAGCTTTCTGGGTCTAAAATAGCCAAATCTGCTGAGATTGTGCAACATGGATTAGTTTGCCATCTAAGTCATCTGGAAAACTTTTTGGAAGAAATTGAAAGCCCTTCTGTGACACTGCGCTGCAATCCCCACCTGTTTTCAAGCTCCCCCCTCCTGCCCTGAAGACTTATCAGCATAAGCATATTTTGCTTTCTTTCCGAAAAGTCCCCTTCAAAAGTTCTTCACATTTTCCTAATTCCTTATTTCTTCAAAATTGTGCCACACTATTCATATTCTTGAGGTTTTTAGATTAGTATCAAAGAAAAAAACCTAACCTGAATATTTATATATACCCAGCGAGGGTAATCTCAACCTTCCAACCCACTTTCCGCTTTTCTATTACTTATTTCCCCCCAAATAAATGTTTTTCGAAAACCGTGCGGAAAGGTCCCCAATCCCTTTGAAATCAGGGAAAAATCTGACACTCATTCCTTTCATTGAAAATGTCTGAATGTTCCTAATATCAATATGTAAATTTAGCAATATCAAAGTGTTTGCGCCACATTTTGCTGGTATTCATTTACCTTTCCACTACATCCCAAAAACCATTCTTGAGCATCTCCTGTCAGGACTGCTTAAAGCTTTGATCTCTGAGTTGCTTGAAAACTGCGTATACCTTTGCTTTTGCTGGAATCAAAGTGCAAATCTCCAAGTTTGCCCACTCCCCCCTGCCCCCCTCCCCTCTTTCGTATCAACTTCCTCTATTCTACCCCAAATCTCAGTTTTGTGGTATTCAAACCACATTTTCGTACTTCCAGCATTGGAGATTTCCATCTTGCTTTTCTTCAGCTCACAGTGATTCATGTACCTCATCCAATATGCTTTCTATATCTTGACTGATGTTTTCCGAAACTCTCAAACCTTGCTAGAGGAAGCTGGTATTGCTGCTCGCTACCTGATATAGTAATCTAATGCATAACTAAAACATGACGAAGTAACATTCCCCCTTTCCAGCATTTAGCTTGTCTACCAAGTCACTTTGCTGGTTAGGCTTCTCGATTAACATCATCTAAGACAGGCGCCACTATCATTATAAGCCACAGCTCGGTGCATCTGCACCGGCACATAACGACAAAGTTGTTGACATCCGAATCGCGACCACGAAGGGGTGGGGGGGGTATCTTACATGCATGAGTCATCTCTAGCGCTTTATTATAGAGAGATTTAGGCTGCCGGTGGTAAGAATCGCACCGAAATTGTTCTTGCCAACATCAAGGAAGACGAAAGCGGTGTGTAGCTACTCACCCTCCATTCTTGTTAGAAAAATTAATGAGCAATAAGACAAGTGACGGCAGTTAACCAGTGTTTTCGACCTTCATATGAAAATAACATTTAGGATTTGGATCACCTCTACTGTACATTGTCCTGGTTATTGTCATTATCGTCGTCTTCATAACACTCGCTCTGCGATATACTTATGGAGGTAAATGGGAAAAATTCTCTGGACTTAATCCAACTCCTGCAGCAGTGAAGTGATACCCACGCCCAATGTGCTACATCTGAGCTTTTTCCTACTGTTTAGTGCAAAGAAGTTTGTACAGTGACTATGCTAACAAATAATTTTCACAAAAATCGAAATGACACTTTATACTCATAAACAGATGTACAGTCACGACTAAATTTGGACAGAGATAGATTTTAAACTCATCTCTGCGATGTTCAAGATGTCTTCGCAAATGAAATCAAACGAGGAAAACATGCAAAAATATAGAAAAGTGTACTTTTAGGACAAGCAACAATCTCTTCATATCAATCTCACACGAAGCACATGAAGAAAGCGTCTACCATCTTATGTACAAATTCTGCCAGAACGAATGTGATAGCTTCAAATAGTTTCAATCGACAGTTTCTATGAAAGTGTTCAATGACAGTGCGAAAAAAAACTATGAATAGTGAACCACCAGTGATCGAAGAGTACTAGAGCTTAAGAACATGACGCCCAATTCCGGCGTTTCTATACAAAAAAAAACATCGAAAAATTCAAAGAGTATGAGAACTACACGGAAAACTTGCCATAGAGCTCATACATTTGACGGCAGACGCACAGTTAGTTCATCTGACAACTTAATTGCTGAAAAGATTGTATTGTAAATCTCAATGATAACTTGTTCCAAACTGCTAATACTTGGAGTGCAAAGAGTACATGTGAGTAAGATAACAGTGAAATGGCATACAACACGCATGACAAGAGCTACGCTAAATGACTTGAATTGATAATGATTGAAAAGATGTGTCGTTGGTAATAGGGTCCTAATGCCTTTGATTACGATTAACATGTGGTTAGGTGTACGATAGAGAGATCCAAAATTGCGCAGCATCTTATGCACTTGTAAATTGCAAATATACACTATATCAAGTTTTTTACACCTTCAGAAATCAGCCGCATGATATGGGATTTGCAAACAATGTACGGCAAATTTTTAAAATATTTGCCACAAACGTGGCATTACTTGCGATTAGACTCAAGGAAGTGTAGCAAAGATACGAGAGTAAGCCAGCGCAGTGGAAAACACCGCCCATTTTGTTTGTGAAATTGTAAAGCAGGTGATAGCTTGAAAACGGAAAGCGTGAAAAGATGGTAAATAAAGCTTGTGACGCGAAGCTCTAATACTGAGAGAAGATAGAGGAGAACGGGAGAGACGGTAGCCTATATACTACAAAAAGCAGATGCTTCATCCCTAACCTCCCGATGAAACACAAAGCATTAGGAACCTTCACCAATCGACATCCCAAGTGCTCGTAACAACAGGCGGCATGAACGTTAGCATGCTAGAATACATGGCAAGAACTACTGCACACCTGCACGAGATAAAGCTATACCGAATTGTGGATAACTCCCCTACAGCAGGTGTGCAGAAATTCTACTACGATGTATGATACAGACCAGATGCACACAAAGATGGTATTAACATAGATAACACTTATCAAAAACCGAAGTTAATGCCCAATATAATCGAATATCGATTTTTGACGATTTGATTCGTTCCAAATTCGGTTTTAATCCCTGCTGCAAGGATGAAAAATAAAAATGTGAAAAATCAAAATAGAACAAGGGAACTGCTTTGATTCTATCCATCATCATGCAAAATCTAATGATAAAGCTTAGGTTCTACTTCTAGATTTTTTGTGCAAAGCCAAACGAAAGGACAAAGGTTAGCAAGAACGGAAGATTGACATGCACAACCAGGCGCTGCTAAGCACAACTCAATGAAAAACAAGCAAAAAAGCTGGATAAGGCAAATTCTTACTTGCTCGATCCAAACAATGACAACAGCATCCAGAAGATGTAGACGATGTCCAAGAAGATCTGTACTGCGGCGAAAATATGGTCCTCAGGTGAGATCTCATATTTGCGGCCTCCCATCAGCAGCTAAATGTATCATACTTGATGTTACAAACAGATGCGAAGAATGCGGGAATCCTGCCATCTAACTTCGAAATTCTTCAACCAATACGCCTTACGCATCAAAAGTGCATTCAACCTTTTCTTAAAGGCAGTGTCCGGGCAAAAACTCGATCTTGAGATTTTGTGCTTACCCGGGCCTATTCGCTACGCTGAATCCGAAAGTACACACTGGAAAGCGCGAAAAGGGCGAAAAACGGCTCTAATACGGGAGGGAAATCAGCAGGTGGGCGGGGTCCTCCCTACTGTGAATTCACGCTCCCAGCTTCCAGAGCGATCTTCTCGGTTCCGAATTCAAGTCATGCATTCGCACCTGGCCGGTGGAGATCTCAGGAAGAGAGGAACTAGAGGAATTGGGAAGATCGCTCCAGAAGCTGGGACTGCGAAATTCACAGTGGGGAGGACCCGCCCACTTTCGATTTCCCTCCTGCGTTAAGCCCTTTTTTTCCCGTTTTTGCGCTTTCCAATGTGGATTTTCGGATTCAGCATAGTGAATAGGCCCGGGTAAGCTTAAAAAAGTGGAGTGCCTCTGGTCCTAAGCATAATGACGAGATTGAAAGCTCAACACATGAAAATTTAATCAAACGCTCATCTAGATAATAAAAAATGAATTCCAAATAACTTACTTGCACATCAATGGCCAGGTAGAACATGAACAGCAACGATGCTAGTGCAGCATACACCAGATATATGAATCTCACATGGAAAAATATAGCCGAGATCATTGCCACCATCCCGAATACCAAAAGGCACATCGAAAGAATGAACATAAGTCCCATCATGCTGTAAAGCACACTATACATATAGAGTTCCACACTTAATTCACGGCAAACATACTTCGTCAAGTCGTATTTGGTTTGCATGGAGAAGATAATGACTGCTCCGCAGCAGATGGTGCAGATGATGAGAGTAAGCAGCACAGTAACGACATCGTGATGAACAGTGATCATCATCGTCATGTAACCGACAGCAAGAGTCTAAAATATAAATTCTGCTACTCACCCAAGCTGTTTTCTCCCACAACTTACGAAAACTGCCGTCAAGATGATGTTAGCTGGGAATGAGCGCCTGACTCCCTCGCAGCACATCAGCGTCAAATACACAACGAAGAATACACCACTAAAATCGCACAACAAATAAACCACGCCAGCTCAAAAATAAGTGTAAAATCTCACTATGCTGCCCAGTACATCCCCATATTTCTAGCTACATACAGTTTCGTTTCTGGGTTGAAAAATGGGACCGCAGTCATCAAGGCCACTACGCCAAGCTTAAAGAAACGTGAAATAAACTTGATGAACAAACTCTGCAAGTTCACAGCTTACCATGATAGCCACCAGGAAGAAGACTTTTCGTACGAATGCTGCACGAATCGTGCGGTCACTGAATAGCAAAAAATTGAAGTTCATATCACAAGAGAAAAATAACAATTACCGACACATTAATGTAAAAGCTACGTACCTGAACTGAAGATTGTACTTATCGGCTTCTCCACCTTCGGCATAGTGTGGATTACCTCCCATCATATTTGGATGTGGCATTGGAGGTGGCATGAACCCTGAACAGCAGAATATTCACAACACTATTGATTTCGAACGCTTAGATGTATGTACTGTATACTTTGAAAATTCTATATAATTTAGCAGGACGCTAGTTCCACGTAACAACCCTATGAGATTTCATCTTACAAGGAAACGATCCCAACTTAAGGTGGCGAATTGGAATGAACCGTATATCATTAGATGCGTCTTGATGAGCTGATTGCAAAACCACCTTCCATATCTGCGACAACGTTATCTGGAAGAAGTTATGAAAGGATAAAAACGTGAAATGATGGGGCTTTTAGTGCATAATTCGCTTCAAAATCCAACTTGGGAGTGTATGACTAGCATGATATTGAGTGTACTGATTTCAAGGAATGCTCACACTCCAAAGAAACACAAATAAGGTTTTTGAACAACTATTTTCGAGGTATTGCTATGTATATTTGCCGAATTTGGACTTTTCATTGCTCATAGCTTTTACCAAAGAACTTTAGTTGCTTTTTAGCTGTTCAAAAACATTTATTTGCGTTTCTTTTGAATGTGAGCATTTAGTGAAATCAGTACACTCAATATGATGCTAGTCGCGCACTTCCAAGTTGGATTTTAAAACAAATTATGCATCAAAACCCCGGTTACTTCACATTTTTAACCTTTCATAACTTCTTTCAGATAACGTTGTCGCAGATATGGAAGGTAGATTTGGAATCAGCTCATCAAGACGCATCTAATGGTATGCGGTTTATTCCAATTCGCCACCTTAAGTTGGGATCGTTCCCTTGTTAGAAATTTTATGACCGTGCTTGCCTCTCTCCATTTCGACCTCTTCTACCTCGCTGCCTGCACTTCGATCGCGTGAGGGCATACTACTCTACTGTTTGAATTATGGAATCCGGGTCCGATATCCTGGTACAGAATCAGTATTCAATACAGATAAGAAGTCCCTTATAGCCAATGCATCACGCAACTTTTCTTTGACTAATTTTGAAGAACAAAGCTTTCAAATCGTCACTTCAAAATCTGCGATTCTGAGTGTGCTCTCAAGAAAACCAGATTGCCGATATACAGCATAAAAATACTTGCACAGCAGTAGACATTACTGTGGCATATTCGATCTTGCAGACAAGAATTTGTGGAATTTTAACTATTCCCCTGTTCTGCATTCTTGTTAAAGGCAGCCAGGCAAATCTGGACCTATGGGGCTCTCAAGTGGGAAGTAATCTTGAGGTCCTAAATAAGATTCTGCCCAAGATTCAGATAGTGCACTCACAACTAAGATATTGGGCTCCAAACTATGCCCCGTGACCGTATTCGCATGGATTCATGGCTCGGCACATCAGTTTCGCGTGGATCCTCGCGCGAAAGCGCCACGAATCCATGCGAATACGGTCCCGGGGTCCAGTTTCGGGGAGAGTATCTCAGCCGCTAAAGCACTCGCTGAGCTGCCGCTTGAGCAGAGTCTTATTTAGGTCCTCAAGATTACTTTCCACGTGAGAGCGTCATAGGTCAGATTTGCCTGACGCTGCCTTTAATGACACCTAAAAAAGTCACAGGGTTCCAGATTAGCAGATCAAATTTCTGGTCTCCAATTCGGTTTATAAGTTATGTTCCCCAAAGCCGATCAAAAGCAGCAGCTGAATCACGCCAAGCGCAATTCTTCCATTTTTGAAAAACGGAACGATGAATTTAGGCTTAGCTTCAACTTGAACTTCACTCGAACTGAAAAACTTTTGTGATATTTGATATGCTGTGATGTTTATGTGGGCATGGTCTATTAACTAATTGGTCTCTTTCAGTGCTTCTAAAGGAAAAAAAAGTAGATAGTTCCAACTATCGAGCGTAAGCGAACTCCGCGGGCATTTTTTATGAAGTTTCGCAAGAAAAAAACGTGCTTTAATTTTAAGCAGCTGCCTTCGCAGACAAAGTTATTCTTGATTGTAGCATGACTATGGCAATAACTTTTGCTGCTGATGTGCAGAATTTTCCTCAAGCATGTGTGTGGATAGCAATTCGAATAGGCTGGGTATTATATTAGTGCATCAGTTATGCATTTTATAAGAATAGGCTGCGATATTAATAGTAGCCAGAAATAGTTTACTCAAGCACAACTGCAACTGAGAAGCGATCCGTCAGATAAATTTTTCATCACCAACAGACGATACTCATGAGACAACACTCATTTGCACACAGTTCAAGGAAGCAAACTATAAACACCACTCCCGTATGGATTGGAAGTTCAGTAAAAATAAAACTTATTTTTGCTTTCCCTCAAGAATTTTTTTGACTTCGCAAGGCACAGCCTCATTTTTTCGCTAATGCATCATTGATCGCGGAGTCGGCATGGAAGTATGTCCGATCTTTGGTTAGCGAATTGTTTTCAGCTTTGACAGCAAGAGCTGTCTGTAAACACGATAAGCAAGTGCAGAGCGTAGAAACCGAGTTCACTACCTATGATGTAGATTATTAGGTTTTCTCATGATTTGGAAAAAGATTCATAATACTTAAAATAGGTTTGTGTAAAAAGCAGCGCACACATGGATATAGATATCTGATATGGATGCTAAATCTGGCAACAGGGGGCTGACATACGAATGAAATACAATATGTTTCCAAAATTGCTAACATTACTTTGAGAAGCGACTTCCCTCATCAGAACAAACCCAAGGATGAACAGGAGTGAGATAAGAAGAATGTTTTGAAACTTGCAAAGACTTCCAATTATGCAAAGAAAAAACAGAGGAAAATAACTTCGAATCTTGCAAAGATTTCCATGCACAGAAAATGAGCAATGATCCAAATATTCAACTGAAGCGACTGGACTTTCCAAGTGTTTAGTCGAAGTGGCCTTTCGAGTTGAGTCTTATACCAGTTCAAACAAAAAATGAACGCAGAACCTATGCAAAAGCAATGGCTATAATCTTTCCTACTATTTAATAAAGCAGAGCTGAGTGTGAGGGTATTGAATAGAAGGTATTAACTGAATGAAGTGCTTTATAATCATCACCTGATCATTTGAGCAATACTGGGCGATTTTGTCTTAGTTGCGCTTGGCAGATGAAAGAAACGGATTAAAAGTCACCGTTCAGTGCTCTACAAAGTGATATGGGTGACATATGGAAAGTCCACTTCTGACGCTTCCCTTGCAGGTAAAAATTGGCATGTTGGTACCGCAGGTGACCTAGTCTTCTCCCTTCTATCAAACGGCTGCAAATATGGCGGGAGAATGGTCAAACAATGTCAATACATGATCCTGACCCCCGTCCTCACTCCTTCTTGCACCCATTTTTCCACTTAATTCAGTACTCAATTCTAGCATATAAATATAGGCATGGAAAATCAAAAATACCTTGCTGTGGTGTTCCCTGAGTCCACCCAGCAGGCGGTGGTGCACCACCACCTGGGTAAGGATTCTGATATTGTGGATTGTAACCAGGTTGTCCGTACGCTGACATGGCTCCTGCAATAGAAAACTTAGATGTATTTTTCTGGAGATTTCGCAGTCTAAATATCATTCAGAAATGAAAATAAAGAGAAAATAGAGAGATGGGCGACCACTCAAAGGCTGCACAAACAAGAGGGACTGTAGATCCGCCCTTAGCTGGGGATCCCTCGATTGGAGCAGGGATCTTGTTTGGAGCGCCATAGCTACTCCTCGTCTTTTCCAGGGATTTTGGCAAGCACATTTCGTTTAAGCTCTCTGGGACCTCCATTTGCACTTCCTAGCACCTACTCAGGATGTGGTATAAAGAGCGCTTTTCGTTACAAACTCTAAAAACACATCTTTTTTTGACTAAACCAGTATTGGCAAATGCGGCGACTTTACAATTCGACTGATCCGCCTTGGAAGCGAAGCTATTCTGAACGCTGAGCCAACTACTCTTCAGAATGGTGTCATCGAACGGCCTTGTTCGCCTGAAAGCCGTGAAGATCGTTGAAATTTGATTCAGCATGTTCGTTACCTAGCATTAGTATGCCTTGAATACGCTTGTGCCCGAGCTAGCGATGGGAAAATCAGCAGTACAGCACTGCGAATCTTTGTTGGAAGGAATATCCGACATTTTGTGATACGAGCTTTCCCCAGTACACATGCGATTTGATCAGTCCGCTTCCAGCAATCCAATACGAAAAACGTTACAAAATTGCTCAGAACTTTGTCAAGGAATTTCTCAATACGTGATTACGGATACCCTACTTTCTAAGTTTTGATACCTTCTCGCGGAGTTACACTGGGTGTACGGGCAGAAAGCGAAGATCTGCCTGGAACTCTGGGCATGAGGGGGTATCTGACGCGCTAATCACATAAATCGCGTTCATTTCGCATGATAGATTTTTACTACTATTCCAGCCGATCCCTGATGAAAATCTCCGAATTCACTGAAACCTTGTGTGTGTATGTGGGGGGAGGGGGAGGTTATCTAGCATGTTTCTCACAAATAACATATTCATCTGTCACGCTAGCACCTTATTACGGCGGTATACGCATAAGTTCGAAATCCTAGATTTTTCCGGAACTTCGTCCAGAGGGCATTCGACACGCTGATCGCAAAAATCGTGCACTATTCGCACAGCAAGCCTGGTGAAGTTACGGTGTGGAAGTGCGGTGAGAGGGCAGTCACGTACTTGGCTGCAATTTGGTCATGATAAAGCGTATACATAGACCCCTTTTTTGGTTCCTACAAGGTAAGGGTACTTGGTCGAAGTGGCGTTTCCATTGAAATGAAATGTATACTATCTTATAGAGCATAAAACGCTGATTACAATTCTGCTTTCCTTACCTGCAAAGCGCTTTTGGGAGGGGAGTTCTGAAAATCTTTTGAGGTAAAAATTTAATGATTTGTCTAAGGTAAAAACAGGCTTGAGTTAGTTTCGGCACTTAAAAGGAGTAATGACTGACATGGGTTTGTTAGATTGGAGGCATTTATTGCATAAAAGCCCTGGTAGTAAACATGGCCCCATCTGAGCTCACGGATCAAGGTTCTGAATGCTTGTAGCCTCGCTTTCGGATTTTTGTGTCGAAAATTTTCATAACTCTCCTCCCAGAGGCGCTTGCAGATAAGGAAAGCAGATTCGTAATCAGCATTGCATGCTTTATCAGATAGTGTACATTTTATATAGACACCATTTCGACCAAGTATCCTTCCCTTGTTAGACCAATTTAGATCTCAAAAATCCACAAAGCCGTATTATGCGAGATGAGCGCAGTATAGCGATCAGAAGGTCAGACAACCCCCCTTCACAAAGTTCCATACGATTCGACCGGTTGCCGCATATCTACCGTAATAACTTTGCCAGAGGGTCAAAAGCAAAAAGGCAACTCTTTCTTCAAATCTCAAGGTCGCGACTAGTCGTAGGCAAATTTCCACATCAATCTGCGACTACATCCCCAAGTCGCATTCCCACTATAACTTAAGACGCTACCATGACGAATGAATTTTTTATCCGTGAACTGCATAACTCTTTGGGCAAAGTTACAGCGACCTATTCAGAATGCACATGGTATTCGTGATAGTATGCCGAATGACCCCCCGTGCAAAGTTCCAGCGAGATCTGAGACCCTCACCTACACGGCAAAGGCCATACCATGCGAAATGAATATCATTTCCTAATCTGCAGGTCAAATAAACCCCGAAAGAGAACTTTCGGCAAAATTCGTTATATTGAATTTTTGTTTGAACTAGGTAGACTGTGTCTCCACTGTTTATATTCTACAGCATTCTGGAGCGTACCTAATGTAGTGTTAGGTTACAAAACATCACTCACAGTAGTGAGGAACCGCAAATGAAAGTTACAAAGAACTGTAAACAAATCCTGCTTGTCAAGATGCTGTTAAAAACGAGCGGTAAGAGATGGCGCTCCAAACAAGATCCGTGCTCCAATCGAGGGATCCCCAGCTAAGGGCGGATCTACAGTCCCTCCACAAACAAGAGAGTGAATGCAGTCGAGCTAGAATCGAAGTTTTCATCGATTACACCTTGTACACGTTGTCAATGCCAGTGCACTTACGCAAACTACTGTTTCTATAATGAGCGTACAGTCAACACTGATCGCTTAAATATATGTGCTTCTGCCCAGAAATTTCGAGAAGGATTGTGATTCGGGGAGATGCGTAAGCAGGCTGTGATTGGGAGAGATAGAACAGCCGAGAAGGCTTACATTACGACATCGTGGAACGATGACATCAAGGAATACTTCACACGCAGACGAATCGATTGTCGCTATCAACATATTCGTCTGGATTGGAAAAACATGCAATGCAGATTAGAAGAAGAGCATGGAAGGGAGAACTAAATCTGGAAGCAAAAACCTGGTCGTTCTTTCTCCTAATCCTCCTTTCCTATGATAGCAGATTCCTGATGAAAATAATAAGATATATTGATGAAACCTTGTTTTCTGCTGTTATATAGTTTTAGTGTTCTCTCCAAATAACAAGGGTTCCAAAGACCTCCCTTTAACATTATTACCCTCGTGTTTCCGCACGTGTCAATAAATGACAGAACACAAAAGGAGTTCAAGCGAAAAGCGGAATTCGTACAGATTCACTACCATAAGAGTTGAACAGAACATTCATCTTCTATCGAGCTACTGAACAACGTTACGGAAAAGAAAAATCAAAGGAACATCATTCGCGCATTTTAAACAATGTGAGTTCGAACCTGTTCTTTTCCAATTTCCTAACAGGAATTCACCCAAAGGCGTTAAAACGCGCTCTTAAACTTATTAATCAGACGTACGCAAAGCGTGCTTGTGTCTCTTAGTCAGAAAATAAATGATATGTGCATGAACCTCATTAAAGCTGGGCGACTGCGGAGCGGGCTGGTGGGATGCAAAATCCGAATTCTGCGACTGCACAACAATAAAAATACAGCAACTGCTAGCTGGTGATGCGCTCAATTACATGAGATTCGTATCAAATTTGATGTCAACTATAATAGAAGTCAATCAGTTTAAGTGCTCCGCACCGAAAAGTAACCGTTGACGCAGCATTTGTTGACAAAAAGAAGCTTCAGTGCTCTAAGCAGATTAGATGAAAGAGGGCTGCGATTAATTTAGTCAGTGCTCGGCTGAATAGGACTATGAGAACGCATATCAATTCATACCAGAATGATACGATGATCAAATTAGACCATACATTCGTACCCTGCTCATCAACAAACAAGGGGAAAACACTAGCAGAAAGCTTAGAGAATTTTGCCTCATTGACCATGTTTGGATCAAATAGTGCACACACAGCATTTCAACCGAGAGCGGTCCAAAGCACCATGTGGAGCGGCGCGGGCGCTTGCATTCTGCCATTGAACGAAGAGAGTGTGAAGAAGACGCAGACATGGTCCTGTCACGACAGACACAACGTTGGTGCGAATTAACTTTTGGCTTACTCCGAAATGAAACATATGTGTTCAAAATGCATTAATTAGAATGGATATTCGCAAATGGCAGTTTCATTATCATCTTATACATGGAAGCGTCCTCAAAAGCACTTGCAGCTGTGCAATTATGGTCAGCTAAAAAAACATAGGCGACAGTTTATGGATTAGTTCGAATAATTTCGAGGAGAAGCAGAAGAGATGGACATAGATTTGCCTAAACATGCGTGCAGGAGTTTAGAAGATTTTATTGCTGTTGCCATAAAAGCAAGGACGTCAAAACAAGAGCGAATAGAGATGTCGGAGGGATTAATGTATGTTGAAAAAAAAGCCGAAGGCTGAAACAAACACGCGTATACTAGTGTTGAGATCGATCGCAAGCCAGAACTTTCAAGTACAAAGTCTACCCAGTTGCTGTTTGTACAACAAATAGTCAAGTTCAGAGCCACTATACTACATCAAATCAAACTCCAAGGTAAACAGAATGGAACTGCTGATTCATGGTTATTAGTCACCGACCGGGCGCTGACCGGTAGCACGGATCGAAGTCGCTCATAGAGGATTGTGAGGGAATGTTGAATGCCACAGATCGATAGCACAATATATGAAAATTTGCATGCGCCGAGCGCTGGAGTTGATATGTGCGATCCGTAATCGGATACAGATTAGCCTTTACGAAAAAGCTCAATCGGTTTAATTCATGGTCAGCAGTGTGCCCTCCGATCGCCAATAATCCATGGAATTTCGCAACCAACAAAGGGCACTCTATTGGAGAGTCATCGTTCTTATAAGAGTCATCATTCCAGCAGGCACGCTGCAATTTTATCCTGGCGTGAAAGAATTCTGCTTCTTGATGCTTTTGCGCTCAGGTAGACTACCATCCAGAAATGACTAGTAAGTTGCACTGGCGTATTTACAATCGCATCATTTTGTAACCTAATACTGCAAAGGCCCACACAAGAAAAGACGACGCATATTATATGTACACGTTTTTATTTCTATATAAAGAAATGCTCCCTCCATTTGGCCACGGAGAGAGCATTTCTTTATGTAGAAAGTTTTTATACACGTGCATATGTTAGTAGATATGACG